CCTCATTCCTGATGAAGCCAAACAGTGTACTCGACAGTGGCAGTTCAATCCGAACTGTCATGAACCAGACATGATTGTCTGCAAGCGGCTATCTCCCAGACCAATCGAGATGGCCACCAATGTTGGAAGCACCAAGCTTACCAAGAAGGTGACACCCCTTACGGATGGTTATCCAATCCAGAGCATCGCAAATCAACGCTTTGTCTCTTGTTGTGGATGACTGCGTCAGGGCACAGGATGGATCCTATGTCCTCATGGACTCAAGGGTCGACGACGCCATCTACCACTACGCCCAACTGGGATCCATACCAGGTATGGAAGGACCGCCAAAGGTCTGTATGGGTGTTGATTGAGCAAGACCTACTGGATCAAATGCCCAACTCAACCAGTTTTCACCGGAGTTCCAGCATTTGGTCCGGACGGTGGAGGGCAACCTCGAAGGCTTTACCAAGAAGCAAGCCAAGGGTGCATTTCTCGCAAGAAATCTGTACCACAACCTCCAGCGCCCATCTTTGGAGGGTACCGCAACATGATCAGGACTGGTCAAATTCGCGACTGTCCGTCAAGCTGGAGACATCGATCGCGCCGAATTAATTTTCTGCGAGCGACATGGGCAAGGCCAAGGGCTCTACTACACGCAGACGCCCACCACCAGTGACCGACAGTATTCATACTGTTCCGGATGAGCTGGTGGCACCACACAGGTTCTTGACCGATGCATGGATGTGTTTTATGTCTGTGAGATTGCCTTTCTAGCATTCACCGACTTGCAAATCCGAACCGCGAATCAGCCTACCTGACCAACAGGAAGGGAAAATTTCTATGCCGCCATTGACAAGATTTTTGATCGGTACGGAATAATGATTTCAAGATCAAAGAAATCCAGTGCGACCTGGAGTAAGAGCCTGATGGATCCTTGTCAAAGAACGACATGGAGCTCAAGCTCAACCATGGAGCGGCCAGACTCACAGTGGTCCCGCCGAGCGCAACATCCGACCTTGAAGGAGCGCATCCGCGAAGCCTGGCATTCAACCCCTTCATGGTGATGCCAAAGGTGATGATTGTGGAATTGGTGTACGATGTTAACTGTAAACTCAACCTCTTCCCCGCGCTTGAGGAATCTCTAAAGTGTATCCTCCCAGGCAGATCTTGGAGGGTCGGACCAAAGCTACAAAGATATTCAGATACACTTTTGGGAGCTATTGTCTCGCTTCCAACGAACCAGACAAGCTCAATTCCATGGAGCCCGGGATTGGATTGCATCTACCTCCGTCCATTGATGGACAACACAAAGGTGGACACAGTGTGATGGACCTCGTCCACTTTGAGGTGATCACGCGCAGCATGTCCGCATCCTGCCGATGCCTCGCTAGTCATTGATGCTGTCGAAAAGAAGGCATACGGTGAGGGTAAGAAACCACTAATCTTTCACAACCGTGACTTTGTGGAATTTTTACCTGTAGGTTTGCCTGCAGGAGTGGATGGTGTCAATGGAAATGAGAGCTACCTCCAAGTCTATGGAGACTCTTCGGACGAAGATTCAGTGGGATCCACGGAATCAGATGAAGATTCTGAGGATGGGAACGCCCCAGGGCTAGTACCAAGGGCATCCAAACAGTATGCCACAGACATTGACTCCGATGAAGAAGGAGAAGAGGGATTCCAAGGAATCCCAACAAGCACAAGTCCAGACAACCCTACAGTTGAAGAGACGGCACCAGCAGTGGATACCAATGATGGAAACCTCGCTGGGCCAGCCAAGGCTTCCAAGCTTCCTCGAGTTGGAATTAGACGCTCAGCTCGGATTGCTACAGCCGAAGCAAAGAAAGGAGTGACCTTCGTCCAAGATGACGAAGCAAAGCAACCACTACTGTATGAGACAGAGACAAGCAAGCACCTAGCTTTGTTCATGGACTCCTGCAATCACAGGAGTGCCACAGCAGAAGTCAAGGATGAGAGCAGCCATGCCCAACAGCATCTTCTACCCAAGGGTCTGAAAGTGTGGGGCAACAAAGCCAGAAAGGCGGCGCTCAAAGAGATGGACCAGCTACACAGCAGAGTCTGTTTCAGTCCAGTCGACCCAAACAAATGCAGGTATCCATGGCCTGCCGAGGTTATCATGGATAGAGGACGTGAATTCTGCGCAGAGGTCGAAAAGACTCTCCGCGATGAATATGGACTTCGTCACAAGTTCATCACCACGCTTAACCCTCAAGCCAACTCTATGGTCGAGCGTGCTCATCAGACCATACGCAACTTGATCGCTGTTCAAAACATCAAGTGCCAAGACGACCTCGTAAATGGATCCTGGGATGGAGTCCTCACGGCGGTTCGCTTTGCAATGAATGCCACAATTCATACCACCTTGCGTGCAACACCCGCGCAGCTCGTGTTCAATCGTGACGCGATTCACAACGTCCGTTTCGAAGTAAACTGGAAACACATCAAAGAACGTCCCCAACGACTCATCCAGAAAAACAATGATAAGGAAAACGCGACGCGTGTCCCTCATCAATACAATGTCAACGATATTGTGAGGTTTCAACAGTATCAGCACCGCAAGTACGGTCAGCCAAAGTACAAAGGTCCTTACACTATAGACCGAGTCAATGACAATGGCACTGTACGGCTCCAACATGCTACCGCCAATGGCGGCACAGTCTACCAGACTTGGAACATAAGGTATATACACCCATACAAGGCCTGATCCCCTTGTAGGATTGCCATCGTGCGACGCACATGTCTACATCCAATCTCATGAGAGTGCCCTGCACTCTAAAATCATATGTTCTCCTTGTCCGACTGCTGTCGCGCCTTCTGTGACCCTTGTCAGGGGGCGAATGCAATACACGGCTCTTAGCCTTATTCGTGACTCGATCCTAGATAGGGTTTGAGTTCGACTCATGACTGAGTCTCTCGTGAATAGTCATTTGAGACAGGGTTCTCAATGACCGCTCTAGTCATACTAGGTTGATGATGAAACATCGCTCTAGATATTTAGCCAGCGTGGAGTACTTCCACGCTACTAGATCCATGCTAGACGAATCTTCCACGCGTTCCGTTTTAGGATCGTGGAGATACGTAGGATTACTACCGCAACCTACTCTATCACACTTTATAGTCTCCCGCGGGAGACCAGATCTACGATCCTTTGATGGTGATCTCTCTCGTTGATTAGTTTTCATAGCTTTCTAATCTCTCTTATAACTTTCATTCTCTCAAACACAAAACACTCGAAAGATCTTTACACTAGCTTTTAGCGTAGTGCATTGAGTTCTGCTATCTCCAGGCTTGGCTGCTTTCTTGGTCGGTTTACAGCCCCCGTGGGATATCCAGCTCCTCTCCAAAGGATCTCACCCCCACAAGAACCAACAAAAGTTGCCCCTCTAGCATCACAGCTAGATTGTGCAACCCCCCCCTATTGAACCAGCCACCTCTCTGCTTCTGCTCTTGTCTCTCCTACTGAGTGTGTCTGACCACAAAGGATTGAGCCCTAGACAGAACTGCAGCGTGGTGTGGCTCAGATATCAACCACCGCCTGACTCTATTACCTCTCTAGCTGATTGTTGAGTGACTCCTCAGTCTTTGTCCATTCCACTGAATCGAGTACCCTCTACAAATCTTGGCTTGACTCTCTGTTGAAGTCTGTGGTGGCCTTCACCAGATTGAGTACCAGCCTTTGAGACAACACAGTGTCAACCAGTAACACAGCCCCATCAACCAACAACACCCCTTGATCCCCCCACTACTGGCTATAGCGTGACTTCTCCAGTTTTCCCTGAAAGAATCCCTATCAGCCTTTGGCTTTGATCCCTTCCTTTTGCAGTTTGTGGTAACTGTACTAGATTGGGACCCAGCCTCTGAACCAGTGGCCATCTCCACCCAACAGCTTTGATCCATACCCTGATTGCCAGTGCCCCAGAGCATTGGCCTCCTTGAATAGATTCCCTCGAATCAATCCTCCTCTCCACCTCACAAGCAATCCCTGTGCTTGAGTTGCAGCAACGACCCGACATTGAACATTACACAATACAACAACCTTTCCATCAACCAACCATCATGCCTCCCACAGCAAACACATCCTACCCTCCCCCCTCCAGCACCATACCACCTACAGCCCACAACCACCCCTCCAACATCCACCCCACAATCCCTCTTACAGTCCACACCGCCCCAGCAGACACTGTGCCTCCCCTTTGGGAGCCACTGCCTGCCAGTGCGTCACTTGGCCCTATCGCATGGCTCTTTGTCGGCTTCTGCCTGACATTGTTCGCCCACTGGATAGGTCATACCCTGACATGGTCCAGTCTTAGGTGTGCCACCACCTATGGACTCTGCTGGCATCTTGCCTTGCACGACAAGGCAATGGCCACAGCATGGGACCTGATCAGTCAGACGCACCTGTGGTGGAGGTGGATCGATGATGACTGTTGTCGATCAGCGCCCTTCTAATAGGTTAAATCCTGGCTAGGCCACCGTGCTCCAGGTCATGATGGGAAGATGCACACTTCCGTTGTAAGTAGAGCTGTAGGGACCTGCCCCTTGTTCATGGGGCGGAGGTGAACGGCGGTGAGACTAAGCGGTGAGACTATAGCATAGTGCTACTATGAGGCATATCCTCCTTCAGTGTTGACGCTTGGTGTGCACCGTGAATCTTCCTATCGTGCAATTCATCAATGGTATACGACTCAGCTATTTGGGCCCTCGGGCTCAACTATTGCCAGTGTAGAAAAAGGTTCTCCGGACCCAATAGGTTGTTAACCTAAATAAGTAATTAAACCCCTGGAAGCCAGGAATATCACCGCGGACACCGCCAATATCCACCATGTTATGTACGATGAAATCACAGGAGAAGGATTGGAGTCCATCGCGGAGGATGTTGCCAGAACAATTGGTATTGAAGTGGTACACGAAGGCAGAACAACAGACGTATCCTTTGTGAACAGGCTCGTCCGCAACACCATTGCGGATGTGAGGAAACCTTTTCAAGATGGAGGTCAAAAGAAGTCAAAGAAGAAGAAGATGGCGTCACCCCGCGTATTTCTCTCACATTTTGCCTCAGCAGATTGCAACAGCATCTTTGGGGGCAGTTCAGGGAATCACATGCCTGGGTCGGATACTGTCAAGATTAGCAATATCGGGAACTGGCATATTGTGGCCAGGAATATACCCACACTGTGGCAGTCCGTGGAGTGACATGCCCGCCCCGAGTACCTAGAGAAGTTGGAGCCGGAGAGAACTGGAGTGCATGATGTTTTGCCCTCAAACGGTCATAATTACCACACCCAGTTTGGCGACGATGTTGCCGACTCGCAGCCCAGTTCTTTGACGACTGACGTTAGGAGTGGTTTGGCCAAGCTCGAAGATGGGGGTTTTCCTTTTCCCCCAGTCCACTGCAATGTGCAGCTCGAGGATGAAGATGTATCTTTCAACCAAGGCGTCATCAGGGGCAGGGTTCCCTCCTGCAATGGTACGCGTATAATCACAGCATCGAAAAGTGGCAACCCACTGAGGAGCCAAACTGCAGCCGGCAGTTTTGTTTTGCGCGGTAATTCGATTTCTTCAACAAAGCCAGATACTCAAGTTATGGATGCAAATGAAGAGCTCAGGGAGGTCAGCGTTGACAATAGCAAGACTCAAGCTGACCTTTCCACTGTTGGAGGATATATTCCCCATACCTCATATTATCATTTGACTCGTGTATTACAATCTAGTATGGTTCGCATATTAATTGCTACACCGTCTCAAGGGGAGTTTTAGGTCTAAAGTGTTGGGTGCATCCTTATATCCATTCAACTTGAAGCACTGCTGTCAGCCACCAGAAAATATTCACTTTTCAGATTCAGCTTAAACCAAAAACCAAATTACCCCTCAATAAGCTGCAGTGCTAGCCTTTTAGATAGACAAACACCTTTAACAGAGGAATTAACAATTCCGCACGGCACGACGCACGTCTGATAATCCCATTGTCGATCCTCCTACAGTTTCCGGCCGGAACTGCGGACATCCAAGGGTACCAGTGAATCAATCAAGGTGAACGGTACAGGTTATGTGTCAGTCGCAAGGAAATCCGGCTGTTATCCAGTGACTTATCGAGGAATTACGTCATCGGGCGTTGCGTGCTTCAAACCGCGATAGCAAGAGCCGACATCTGTCGTCCAAGCTACTGAACGATCTGAGCATTGCAAGCCAAGAGAAGTTGTGGCACACGACAAGGGTACTCTGAGTATCAGTGCAAGCTTCTAACTCCAAAAATTGAGTGAGATAGCTCAAATCGTGTCAACAGTGCTTGTGAGCCTCGAAGCTAACAATCCCGGTAACGATACAACGTGCACGAAGAGCTTAATCTTCACGAGAGAACTGTTCCAGTCATTGAAACTCACACAGTGTACTCATCTAAGCATACTGAAGACCTCTGCAAGAGCACAGAGGCATATGAAAGACTACAGAGGAGTTCGCTACTATCCTGAGCCACGAAACGTCCTAAGGACACAAGAACAACCACGTTTTACGTGAGCGATCAACAGATCGAGATCAACGAGATCACCCATCAAGTGTGACTAAAAGCAGCCTATCCAGGCACCAATTCCTGTTCCATTCCAATGGACAGGCAGACAACAGGTACTATCCTTTTGAAGAGACTTTGACCCACATTGTCCAGAACCTCAGGGTCAAGCCTGAATGGAATGATGTGCCACTGGCTTCATTGGCTATTGAAACCATGACCAGTCAGGCACCAACCAAGCCGACCAAGCAGACAGCTAAGCCAACATCTGCGGATCCCAATATCCTAGAGTACGATGCCTTGGAACTCAGCGAGTACAAGTCAGAAGCATCCATCTAAACATAACTGAAATTTTTGTTTAAAGGCTACACCTCGTCAGCTGAACGGTGTGGTGACGAACCCATATACCTCAGGCGCACGAGGGCGCCCACTTAGGATGGGCCTAGTGCAAGCCCCCCACCGGAGAATTGAACAAAACTCCGGAGGGTGCTGTACGACTAACTATCTAGGCGAGGCTAAATCGCCCGCTATCAGAAGCATCCATCTATGACAAGTCAGCTTGGGTTGGGTTGGTCACAATGATTAGTAGGTGTTATTTTTCTACTGCGCCGAGGGCTTGATTTTACTTCACTCAGAATGACAGGGGGCACTACTGGCCCCTTGTTCGAGTAGAAGGGTTATGGGCTCGCTAAGGCCCCTAAAGGTGTTCCATTCAATGGTGGTTTCTTTGGGAATGCACGCTAAGGCCTTCCTTGGGGTATGGCACGCTAAGGCCATGTGCTAATGGTGTCTTGGAAAAGATGAATTGGGTTGGTTCTGAGGTGGTTCAAGGGAGGGGTGATGGAGAAGTTAGAGGCGTCCTGTGGCACACCACTGATAGAGTCTGGAATTCCTTCTGTCTTCAGTGATTTGGTGGGCACGTCTAGTTTCTCTATCGCGGACAGTGTGTAGCCCTTGAAGCCAGGACTGTTTGTAGGACTTTGGTTTTGTGAGAAGGGAAATGAGTGAGTGTTTGAAGTAGTGGTGATAACAGGAGGGGAGTCCCCCGGTACCTTTGATATACTCATTGGTGATTGCTTGGTGTAACAGGTTGAGGGCTTGTTTCTGACGGGGCTTTTGGTCGTCGTGTAGAATCTTGTTCCGATGTTCCCATAAGCTCCAAGCCATCATGTGGGTTTTGCGAAGGATTTTGCAAGTCCAAGTGGTACCAGTGATGGAGTATCCCTCTCGTCTGCAGAAGGAGTCCATATACTGGGCAAAACGAATGGAGGGTAAACCTTCCAAGAAGTTCTTCCATCCGATCTGGTCTTGGGAAACAATAAGTTGGGTAAGGCTGGCATCCCACTGGGGGTTGGGGAGCAATGGGAGGGAATTGCGCCAACTGTTGAGGCGGTCAATCAGTGCTATGTGAAGGTCAAGGGGGGTGTGAAGCTCCCCAAAGGCTGAAGCCAGCTCTAGCAAGTGAGCGCTCCATACGTCATTAGATCCCTCAGCATGACATCGTAGGACATGTGTAGTGTCTTCTGGTGCTCCGCATCGTGGGCAATGGTCATCGTCCTGTTTGTGCCAATGTTTAAGGGTAATTCCCACTCCACAATTCTCAGAAGCGTGTTTGGTACACCACCGGCGCATGCCCAACGGTAGAGTTTTCATCAGCTTTCCGCATACTTCCCAGTCGACTAGCTGGAATGCTTCAGGGGACAGTCTTGCAGGGGCAAGATAGTGGTCGGAAGTCCAGTATTCTTCAATATCAGGGAGGCAGATTAGGTCCAACAAAGCCTGTCGGTGTGGTGATGCAAGTTTCCGCTGATTGTGCCAAATTGACGAACCTTCTCCTCCGATGGGGTGATGGGAGGGAGACCCAAATGGGTTCGCATTGACAATGGCAGTCCAGTACTCTTTGGCTTTGGTGTCCATGCGCACGTTGAGGGCTTCAAGGGGGCTCAATTCGTGACCTGCGTGGTCATCCATATGCCCGTCGATGTGTTCCGTCTCAAATATCACATGACTTTGCTGGATGTGCATCCATAGGGCATGGGTCAAGTCGAATGATTGATTGTTGGGGTCTGGGACGAACCCGTTGTCAAACACCAGTAAGGCAGATGAGCTATCACATCCAATCTTAACCTTCCCTTCGGTGATCCCAAAGAGGTCACAGATGAGATTGGTAATGATGACGATCGCAAGAAAGCCAGAGAGTTCACACCGGTAAGAGTCACCGTCATGTAAGGGGCCTGGAACGATGTTGACACTAGTCAATTCCATTGCTGGGTTTGTGCCTACTAGAATAGACGCAGAGGTGCCAATTCTGTGTTGAGCAGCAACACGCCTGGGGAACCCCCCGTCCGAGTTTCCACGCCCCGCAGCGTGGAAACTTGAACCCTGATGGGTTCTCGCAACTATGACCCTAATCATGGTTGCCGAGAGGACCATCTCACAAATTGCAAAATTAATTCCCGCGCTCCTCACCTACAACTCAAGTACATCTCTACATCTCGCAGGTCATCACCTGTGTTCCCGAAATGGATACCCCACATGTTGATGCACCGCATCAGCTCCTCAATGCCTCTCAAACAAGATTACCCTTAAGGCAACGACGCCCGTCCAAGACCACATTTGGCAGGATCGACAGCGGCAACCATGAATCACTAAAGCCAACGACCTAGCCAAGATCAGCCATTGAACTGCCGATCACAAGAAGGTTGTCTCTCTCTCAGCTCACAATTCTTCATTCAGCCGACGCTGAAGGCAAGAACCTAGATTAGATTAATCTCTTGCGCCGGCATCAGGTTTCGTATCTTTTCGACCCTCACCATGGCCAGCTCTAATTTTTCGGATCTCGTCTCTCATGCAGCGGCATGGGAGGTACATGCTCCAAACTACACTGATGTCCTCACTTCTGTGGGCGGCGCCTCGAATGCAAATCGTGATGTTGCCTCTCGCGCTATGAGCCAATTTTGCCTTCGTTCACCTGTCACCTTTGGCTTCGTCCTCCAAAATGATGAAACGAATATCTACATTGGACACTCACTCTACGCCTACCTCGTGAATCCTAGCCAGGTTTCTCTTTACGACAATCTCTATGCTATCGTGGTGGGGAACGATCTTCGAAGCGCTATCACGGTGGTCCTTCCCATGTCAGCGTTTGAGCGCACGGCTGACGTAACCTGCCACAACTTGACAATTATTGACGGAGGAACGATGTTTACCGCCGTGCCGGCTCCTGTGCTACTCAGTGGCCCCCACGGCGGTGGTGTCGCGGACACTGATGTCTTCCGGGTCCGTCGTGTGATGCCTCTTCCGTCCTATCTCTCTGAAGCCGTCCTCGTGGCCCGTCCCGAAAGACAGTACAGTCTTCCCCAGTTCCGTGCGGAAGTCCTTACCCCCGAGATGACTCACGCGGATCCTGCACGACAGGCTGCCATCGCCCCTTTGGTCCAATGGTTCCGCGCCTGGTCACACGTCCACTAGTAATGCTGCTGCTAACGTGGCCGCGTCCATCAGCGCAAACGCACTCCAACGAAGCACAAACCGGGTACTCTCCCCCTACATGGCGGCGCTTGGCGTGGTAGGTCCAGGCCTGACCAACGCAACCTTCAACGCGGGAATCACGAACCTACGCCATCACTTCCACCGACATCAAGTTTCCCACCGATGGTCGCATTGCGGAGGAAAAGCTCTATGGTTGGTC